TGTCAGCCGCGAAAATAGACGCGTGAATGGGCGGCCTGAAAAAAGCCGGCGCCATCGGTGACTCGGAACACGCGCTGCATTCTTTATGCGACGGAAACGAGAGAAAAAAAGGGAGGTTTTCTGTCGGCATTAATGGACCCCTCGGACGTGTTTGGAAATGATGCTGAGAGAACAGTTAATATATGTGCGGGGATTGTGTTGGTTTGGCTATGGTTCTCTTTGCTTCTATGCTGCTCGTGTGTTTCTTTGAATAAATGTCCTTTGATAATTGCGAGGAATATCGTATTAATTTTTGTTGGTTAGTTGTGTCACGGTTGCAGGAGTCTATACGTGAAATTGAATTTTTCACTGATTTGGAGTGTCGTTAATAATTTATGTCTTCAATGTAATGTACTGGAGTTCTGTTTTTCTTTGGTTCCTTTTCGCGAGGAGGAATGATAATATATAATTGGTGACATTTGATTTTCGTCTGTAAAGCCACTTCACTGCACGCGTTACGCAATCTCGCGAACGCTCTTTTATTCTTCATCTCTTTTCTTCGGTCTCCCATTGTGTCTGGTTTGAAGGCTTCGAAGAAAAATGGGGAATCTTTGACAGCAAGGCCGTTGTTTTCGACGCCAGATGACGTCGATGTTTTTCTCTTCGACGAGGACATGTCTGTAGTTATGTGCGTGCGTTAAGTACGCTTTGCGACATAGTTCTGTGCTTATTTTTATGCCTGATTCACAGGTAGGCTTGGCGATGATTTATTTCGCACGTTCGAACCTAGCGCGTTTCTGTCTCTTGTTACCGAAAGGTCGTGCTTCAAGCTATTCACTTTTAACTAAGACGTCTTGCAAATTTAGTTCGCTTTTAAATTACGGAAAGTTGTGAGCAATCTAGTTTTATAGCTTTTATTGTACAAGAAAGTAATAATTAGACTCCTTGCTGATAGGTATTCTAGGTCTAACTTTTAAATGTCAAATTTAAAATTTAAAATTTTAAATGTTATATTCCAAATTTTGAAATGTTGAGATATCATGCACAAAGATTACACGGTCTCAATATCTCTACTTTCACACGGAATCAATAAACAGATAATATGCTCTTATCGTCATCACTCGATACCGTCGTCACCGGCGTCACGATCGATGATTACAAAACAAACAGTATCTACATTACGAACGTCCGCGCGGTGACAGCCCGATGAATAGTGAATAATCTCTCCCTCTCTCTCGAGAAAAAAAGAGAGGAACGCCTCTTAAACGTGTCGCGATGAAGATGGCCGCGCGATTTCGCAACCCGGTTAAAAATCCAATGAAGACCGTTCCGACTAACGGATCATCGGCTCGGAACGGGTTCTCATTTTTGGCTCGAATTACTATTAATGCCAATTAGCGGCCGTTATCGACGGTGGACGGTCAAGTGTGACGAAACAGCGCAAGCGGGAGATGAAGAAAGAGAGAAAAAAAAATGGAAGAAAATGAAAAAAGGAACAGAAAGAAAACGGACTCGTCGCAGCGTTCGCCGATCCTGGCAGCGTTAATTGGCCGAGCTCGCAGCGGGAACGCTGCCGATATTTACGCAAACGACTCCATTCTTGGCGGACGATTATTAGCGAATTTCTTGCCGATCTTGCAACCCATAAATCTTGCACGTCGCGTTCAATTACTTCTGTCATGCCTCAACGTCCGCCGATGGGTTCCCGGCGTATCGATAACTCGCAACAACGTAGCCGATACACCGCGTTACGAGGTGTCAATTCGGTTAAAACGAATTACGCGTCGAAACTCGAACGCCACGTGCTCGTGACGCTGGTTTTTGCAGCCGCGACCGGGATTAAGAGAAACGCGGGCGTCCAGAAGAATGTGCGACGGATCGAAATCGATATCAGCGGTTTGGCAGCCGTAAACTTGTGCAAGGAATAATTGCTCGATCCACGGCTTGACGGCTCTCCGTTCGTTTCGCAGGGGTTTCGTTGTACTCTAACTACTGAAAGATAATCCCGTAGGAAGAATAATAGTAACATTAAGAACGCGAGCAGTTTGAATTTGGATACTACCGATAGTAGTCTGTTAGTCTCTTTTTTGTCGAAACAGAAAGAATTCACGAGACAGCGTTACTATCAGTGTCAACCCAATGATTCCTAGTCGTTGAAGATCTGTGAATACTCTTTCTTTGTTTCATTTGAACGGTAAAATGATTTTGAATTTTTAAATTGTCACGTACAGGTAAGAGTCAATGCTAATAATGAAGGAATAAAAATCGCAAAGAATGTTAACGTTTGAACAGTTACTCGGAATTATAGGAACGGACGGAAGAACGAATTATAGTCACTGTAGATTTCGATTGTCGGGAAATTAATGATCGAAGAAGTTAATCTTAAAGCGCTTCATTCTTTTTCGTTAGAAGGTCTCTGTAATTGAAAATAAGGTAATTGCTTCCGGTTAATGAAGCTTCGGGGGAGACCTGATTTTGGTTTACGGGATCATCAACCGACTTAATGAATAATTGCGGAGGATGCTGAAAGCCCCCTCTTTTCCACGGCTGAGATTGTTGTGACGCCGAATGCCGGCCTACATTAATTTCATACACCAATCCACGCTTCGACCATAAATGGACCGTCGTGATTCAGCCGGTCTGGTTTTCGGGCATCGCAGAACTTGCACGGTTCCTCTTCCCATTCCCGACTTCTCCGGGACGGCTGACTTTCTCACCGAGCGATCTCCTACATTTTTTGTCCATTCATACCGGTGTCCCCGAAAATTATCGAAAGCGTGACAAGACGATGCTCCGTTCGTCGATATTAAGTGAAACGCCCCGCCGTTTAAACTTTTCGGATCGTCTCAGCACGGGTTCCGCTGCAAATTCTCTGTTACGCCATTGTTAACTAATTCATTTCTACGATATCGACATTCACAATTTCTAAAAATGATTCTCAAAACTGTTTCCGGATACTACAACGTTCCATCTTCCAATCATTCCCATAGAACGCCATTCTATAGGATTAACGAACATTAAAAGTTTATCGTGGTTTATTAAGCAACATTTTGAATACCTGTCCGGACGGCGGTATGCGCACAAATCTTCGTCAAAACTTAAAGAAGCCGGCCTATGAATTAAACAAGCATGGGAACTCTGACGATTTTACAGTTACGCAAATACCGTGTACCGTATAATCGCATATCACCTCGACAAAGTAGTCGTCAATTAACTATACATCGACGAAACTGTGTCAACAATTAATTAATAATGTTAGTATCGCGGGGAACAGCTACTAAAGAGGACGGTTAAGGAATGGAGGCGCAACGCGATGAAAAACGTTCGTTTCTAACGAGCAAACAGCGAACCCTATCACGGATCGGCAACAACCGATCCCCGCCTCTTATCTAACCGTTAATTATAAGCGATCCGGTCGTAAACAGGCGGCAAAAAACTTTAATTTTCATTTCAGCTCACCGTTAACGTGTGCTATCCGCGGTGTTCCATTATCGGTTGCGCATTGTTTATTCGTCGTTATTCAGCCGGCGCGTGCATTTCTGACGAGCCAGAGGAGTTTTCGGACACGTAACGCCGACAGTGTTACTCAATTATTCAGCCGGAGGACTGTTATCCCGGGCCGAGTCATATATTACGTAAATGTGTCCGCGTGTTTCGACCGCGCGAGAGGCACCGAGTTCACGGCTAAGCCTGAAAAATCGACGAGAAATCGCGACGGCGGTATGCGCCGTTTGATTTATCCTCTTTATCGCGTCTAACGGTCGCCACGTCCACCGCAACTGGTCACATTATTATTAACAATTAATTATCCGTTTAAAAGGTACGGGCTCGTCGCGACCGGCTACGTTCGGTTTCCTTTTTGCCCGTGGAAAACATCCTACCGCGTTGGAATTAGCATACGAGTCCGTTTCGCTTCCAGGATGGAACGGGTTACCTGATTGCAAAACCTCCGATCGTTTTATTGCCGACGCGATAAGTGCATTCGTTGCACCGCGAATCCACTTCAAAGCACATCGATATTTCTTTCCGCGATACGATCTACTTCGGACGCGGTCGAACAGTGTCCATTCCGTACAAGTTTACGGGAAAAAATTGGACAAGTCAATTAATAATTCTCTGTTCTATCGCGTTCTTAACACATTGTTCACCGTACAACCGATTCATATTACCAGTTAGCCTTGCTACGAAATTAAAGAGTGAAATTCTTAATATTGAAACGCTAAACCGCGACTGATTAATTCGCGCAGGCATTCAGCGAATACTGTCTTGACGCAATAGGCAACACTTTTGCATAACTATTCTACACCTTGTTACACAGGGTTAATAAAACAGACATCGGACGGTTCGAAACGGAACGTTTCGAGTTCCTACTTCCAACATTAGCAGACTCACCGACCAATTCCCGTTCTGCGTGAAAATCTGGGAAAACGTAATCTAGCAGCGAGAAAGTTAAATTTAATCTGTTCGATCGTCCCTCACTGTCAACATCGTCCAAAGGACAATACGTTTCAAATTCCATAAAAAACGGGCATGAAAACCGTGGAGAACAGCTCGCCGGACACGTCCCACCTGCGCAATATCACCCCGACATCAATCATCCCGTGCGCGATCGGTTGACTTTCTCATTTCCGAAAAGTCGCCGCGTCCGCTGGTTTCCGGTCGACGTTGCGCGCCGGGAACCGCAAACGTCGGCGATCGGTTCGACGGCAAATCCCGCGTGGCGTCGTCCGTGAAACTGAAAAGCACGGTCCGCGATTTAGTGGCGCGTGTAAACGCGACCGGTGGCGCTGACGCTTGGAATTCGCGAGCACGCGACAACGACCAAAAGGTACAAACGAATGGGGAAGCTCGCTCGAGCGTGGAGACACGAGCCTCGGGCCAAGTCAACGCACTCCGATTAAATAAACGCAACACAGGCCGGATCTATGTACACGGTGTGTACCAAACAATCCGTTCTTGCGTAAGAACCGCCGCGCCGCGCCGCGCCGCGTCGCGGATCGATTCGGCTCGAGTCGCGTATAGTTGACAGAAGCCGTATTGCGAAATCACGGTCGCGCCGCTCGATCGTGCTCGTTTCATTGTTAATTATTCGCCGGCCGAGATTGCATCTCCCGCTTAATTGCTTGTTCCTCGCCGCTTCTTGGACACGTGAGCCCCGGCCTCGTCATGTTCGACAAATGCGTCCGGTGAGCGGCGAATCAGCGGGACGGCGATCTCGCGCGGAAAGAGACTGTTTAGCTGGGAAAACGGATCGCCGGCGCTGTGCAGCACGAGAATCAGGTAAATTATCTTAATCCTCCCGCGGTCCTGCGTCTGGACAGACTGGAGGTTCGATTTATTCCAACAGTTGTGGGTTTTATCAATTTAAGCTAGTTATCCATGATATTATGATACCACGTATAAGTTCCATTTCAGCGTTTCTCCAATGTCCTCGAATGAACTAGTGGATTGGAAGTGTACACACGCGTCGAACCATGGTTAAATCGAGTGACCTCGTTACAAACGCAACTACTACTCGCCTCTCGCGTTAGTTTCGTCAGCCTTAGGCTTAAAAGTGCACAAGGGCGAGGGTACTTTCCCACTCACGCTAGGAACGCCTCGGTTTTCGACGCATTATCGACTGCAATAACGGAGTGAACTGTAGAAAATTCTGATCTTTCGTTACGTCTCACTTCATCGCATTTGTCTTCGTTTCCTTCCTTTGTTACCGCCGCGCCAATAATGCGTCATTCGGGGTGGTCCGAGTGTCGGGAGCGGACGAGTCCCCTCGCCCCTGTGCACGTTTAGCTTGTAATAGCACATAACTTCAAAGCGAAAAGTTCCAATGATCGATTCCCGTACGAACGAAATCCTTCCCGAACGCCGAACAAGACGCTGATTCCCTCACGCGAGGTCTACACGGTACACAAAACCATTTAACAAGGTAAACACGCGCGAACCCCTCCTCGCGCTCAGCTTAACGATAATAGATTTCGCCACGGCGTTCCTAGCACCGTTTATTTATTAACTTCACGCAACCGGCGTATCGCGGCGTGTTAAAGGATAAATTTACCGTGGCCGTTCATCGCGGCGAGCAACTTTTTACCGTCTAATTTGCTAAACGCCTCGGATATCGTAGCCCGAAGTGCGAAATGGTTCGTCTTTCGCTTCGCCCTTTCTCAATCTGCACGGGCGATTTACCGGCGCCGAGAACGGCACGTCCGCTGACATCCTCCCCGCCGCGAGACCATAGATCGCTCATTAAACGCGCGTCGGATTATTATAATAATTATGTAAATATCCTTGTTATCCTTGGACGGGGGCTGTAGGGCGCTCGGCGATCGCGCGTATTACGGCGCCGGTTAAGGAAGCCGTCCCGTACGAGACTTTCGTTGATAATTAAAGTACCGTGGAAGTCCGTGACGCTGGAAATGGTAATTTATCTCCTCGTTTCTGTATCATCGGGACGCCGGCCACGCCGGTTTACCCCCCGGTTGCTTTTTCTACGATCGTGACATTAATCACCGGTCTG